ACACATGTAACCCATTATCTGCTTGGAGACAGGCTGGCCTGTGGTGGCCTCCAGTGGCTCAGAAGCTGGACGCTCCTTGCCAGCAGGCCAGGGGCTAATGCCTGCCATTAGCTGCAGCCACACCCATACTGGCTCATCTCAGACTCTGGGCTGAACGGAAACCAGGTGAGAAAGTGGTTCACCAACAGTGAGAGGAGGTCCCAGACAAAAGACCCGAGTTGTATACTTGCCACACACCCAGGCCTGACCAGGTCAAGGGATGAATCAGTGAGCTCCATGAGGGAAGGGAACATCCCCAGTTCGGTCACCAACATGTCCTGAAGCACGCAAGCATCGTACAAGGAACTTGATCTGCACTCAGTACCATATGTGTAGAAAACTTTTGTTGAAAGCCAATGAGTAAACAACTACCTGAATGAATGAGTGAATGGTTTGTTTGTGTGACGCCTCCAAGAACACTGTGGAACAGACTGGATAGATAATTGGCCAGCACTTAGGCTCGAGCACCAACTGGGAACATCTATCCAAGCTCTGTTCCTTAAAGCTCTGACCTTGGGCAAGTAACTTAACCTCCTCAAGCCTTAGTTTCCTCATGGGGCAGGTGTATGTGCTGCTCAGATTCCCCTTTAAGGAAGGACTTGCTCCAGCTGCTGAGATTGTCATTAGCTAGCAGCCTCCAGTCGCCAGGCCCTCAGACTGTCTCAGAGCCACCTTACCTAAGGTCATGCCCTGGGCCACGAATGCCCACATATCAAGTGGGATGTAAGGCCCTGGCCACACTGGCCGATGAACAAAACTGTGATTTCAAGGCTCCCTGTGAGGGTAGCTGAAGTCACTCAACTCACCTTCTTCCTCCACCTAGTCCTGATTCTGTCTTCTCCCTTCCCTGGGTGCTGGTCCCAAAGGCACTCCCAAGTAACCACTCTCAACTCCGTCCCAAAGGCTGCTTCCCAGAGAACCTACCTGCGGCCCATCACTTGCAAAATAGAGATAACAATCAGCACACGTGTGTGCGGTCTGACGGGCTCATTCAGCGGGAGCCAAGGTCACACGGCTGGTAGGAAGTGGAGCTGGGACTTGACCCCAAGTCTGAACCCAAGGCCTATATGTTTTCAGCCACTTCGACCCACATTGAAGTTTCCAAGAGGAGGGCTTTGTTCTCTGACTTGTTTATTTTGTTATTTTTAAACATGAAAGCTTTCTAGGAGATGCAGTGGAAGTTGGGGTTGAGAACCCTGACATTCCCTCTCCTACCACCCACGCCGACTCGGCATGGGATTCCATGCCGCTGATGCCACCCTATGCCAGGAGCCCACACTTTTTTCTGATGCTATTTACTCATAAGGGTCTCAAATAACAAAGGCCTAACCCATACGGTTCACCCAAGCTGCTGGGTGATCGCACGCATCTTGTAGCTATTTGTTTATTTTGCACATTGAAATGAACACTGAATGGCACTTCAGAGTGAAATTCAGCTTCAATGAAACACAGCAGAAAGAAGTCAATTATCCAGCATTAATTATTTATCTGGGGACAATAACCACGGTGTTATTCCCCACTAAAGAGGCCTCTATAGCATGGAACAAAAGGAAAGACGAGGTGGCTGCTATTATCTGTCCACAATGCAGCATCAGATTGGATAAATTAACCCTTCTGACATCCCGTAAGGACACATAAGCCTTTTTCATGAACGTGGCCCGTGCACATGCCCCTAGAACACACACAATTAATAACCTAGTAGGGCCCAGGGACTGTGTTCCCCTAATATTCCCGCAGTACCAGGCAATGAGCACATTAAAGGAAATACCACCTTGTCTGTGCAGCCCACCCTGCCCTATCAGAACTTTGGGGCTGAAGACATTCTAAGCAAACCCCTTCTCGGGTGGTAGCTTAGTGGCCAGCCAGACCTGGGGTCATGCTAGTCCAGGGCTTTCCTCCCAAAGTATGGGTGTACAATAAATAACAAGTTAGAAACCCTAGCCTGCATCCAAAAAGAAGAGTAATCTAATTTCTACATCATTTTCACGTAATTTAATTTCCTTTTATCCTTAAAACTTCTGAGGAGATTGGAAGTGTGACAGAGAGACAGTGGTTCCCAGGGGCTGAAAGGGGGCCAGGGTCTGATCTACCTTTGCCCCACATTCTCTACTCCAGGGATCTTGTCTTCATCTGAAGAGGTTACCATGGATCTAGCAGTTCCTGTGTGCAGGCAGGATGCACTGTACATATTATCTTAAATTTCAGTACAATCCAATGATGTCAGTATATATATCTGCATTTCATAGATGAAGAAAGCTGAAGCCTGAGGTTATAACTAATATGCAGCAGAATTAAGATAAGTGGAGGCAGTCCTGACTCCTAATCACGATCCTAAGCTGCCCTGTGACAGCAGCTCCCCCAGCCCCAGCACAGGTTCTGGTCTGACGGTCCCAGGACCCAGGAGGCTCTGAGGAATCGTCCCAAAGCCCTATTGTGTTAGATGAGGTCATCAAAAGGACGTGGCCATCGGTTCACCCGTGCCCTGGACCCCGGCCATCCAGGGCTCCTCACCCCCTCCCCTGTCCTTGGAATGTGCATTCCACTTGCCCTCCCCACTCCCAGGGGCTGTCCTTGGCAAACAACCTTGAGATAGTGATGTGGTGCTGAGACTCTGGAGCATATACTACACCTAAGGCCTCCCTATAAAGTTTTAAGATTTGGCAGCAGGTATGGAATCTACACGTCTTGCTGCTGCTCCAAACAAGCCTCATATATAATAAGTTCCCTTGCCTATGTAACCTGCTGCCTGCCAATCTGGGCAGCCCACCTCCTTCTTTGGACTCTCTCTGCCCTTTGCTTACAGGGCCTCGTTTCAGATCACACCTGGGAAGCTCCCCAGGTTGCTCACCAGCCAACACACTGCCAGAGCTGTTGCTGCCCACCTGGTTCATAGGTACTGACCCACTGCCCAGTGTGGACAGCAGCCAGGCAAGACTATGAACACTTCATCTAGAACAGCTCCACTTTCTCCTGGTTTAAAATATGAAGCTGCTAGGAGTGTCTGTTGATTTCTTATTTTCTCAGTGAGATCATTTGGCAAGAGGGGTCAGGGAAGGGATTTCTAGAAGACTTCCCTGAGATCACCTTCATGAAGAGCCACATGCACCTCTGACATGCAGTAGGCACTCAATAAACAATAGCGCCCCCTATGCAGCTTTCCCTGAGTGAGACACTGCACATAGCAACTGATTCAATTCACACATTAACCCTATGAAATAGGTACTATTTTCATCCCATTTCATACGTGAGGGAACTGGGGGTCTGATGGGGTTCAAGAACTTGCACAAAGCCACACAGCTAGTAAGGGGAAGAACCTGGCTTTGAAAACAAGCAGTCATGAGTTCAAAGCTGACGACACCTGGTTACCTCATAAAAGGCCATCAGCCACTCCAACACATGCATCCCAATGGGTTTGCATCTCATGATCCCTGAGCTCTGCCTAAGACACACTGTGTGGGAAGATATTTGGGCCCCCATGGGATCCCTAATTCTCAGTGTTAGGCTGAACAGAAAAGTCCTAACTGCATCTCTAACAGCGTGTTCCATTATAAATAGCATGCAAGAACTGCATGTCACACCTCATAAGATGGCCTCACAGGGGTTAGCCTAGGACCAGTAGACTTTTAGCAAATACTCATTTTTTTTTCTGCTTTTAAAAGCAACATACAGTAAGAAAAATACTCAAAACCCAAATAACATGGAAATGAACAATGTGTGGGGTGCCTGGGTGGCTCACTCAGTTATGCATTCAACTCTTCATTTTGGCTCAGGTCATGACCTCACGGTGTGTGGGATCGAGTCCTGCATCAGGTTCTACACTCAGCTCAGAGCTTGCTTGGGATTCTGTCTGTCTCTCTCTCTCTCTCTCTCTCTCTCTCTCTCTCCACCCCCCCTCCTCTGTTCTCTCTCTCTCTCTCAAAATAAAATAAATAAACTTAGAAAGAAAGGAATGGTAAGTTGAAATCCCCTCTAATTCAGGTGGAGGTGAAGGACAGAATAAAGGTAAGATGTCAGTGATACATGTAATATGTAAAACAAAACAATGACCTAACAGTCTTGTAAGGGCTACTTGGATTCTGTTGCCTCAAAACAACCCCATCAAAATGTCTCAGAAAAAAAATTTAAAAAGCAAGGCAGAAACCCTTGAGCACTCAGTTGCACACTTCCTCTGTAGATCAAACCTGCATTACTGACCAAACAGACCAGTTTGCCCGGGGCTGCGGTATTTTCAAAGTCACAAAAGTTTCAGGGCCCAAATCAGGATAGTCCTGGGCATCTGGGACAGTGGGTCACCATAGATTCCCCTTTGGTTCTGGCTCTGGGCCCCAGGACCAGCCAGGTCTCCACAGCTCCTAGATGTGTGAGGTTACCTCTGGTGCCTCCATCTCTCCTTCTTCTCACTTCATCATCTGGCCTTCACCCTCTACTCAGTGTATTCCTCCATCTTCCTCCCTACCTCTTTCCCCTCCCCCCAACCCAGCTCAGGGCAACAAATATTTCCAGAGGATCAGTTATGTGCTAAGTTCTCTCCTGGTGCCCTTGAAGAAAGAGAAGACCTAAGGAAAAGATGTCCCTTTCAAGAGGCTCAGAGAGAGACTTCCATAACCCCAAGGGTCCCCAATGGCTCCAGCCTCCTGTCCCAGGTGGGATCAGGAACCCCCTCAGGGGTCCCCTATCTTAGCAGCATACTCCAATCAACTATTTGTTTCATTGTCTGCCTGCATCTTACGGGGACCGTCCCTTGGGGAACTGGACACGCCTGATTCCTTCATGTCTCAGGGCCCAGTTACATCAATATTTGCTGAGTGAACATGGCATCCCCAATACTTTGTCTTAAGCTCCCTCCCCAGGACAGTACATGGAGAGGTGGGGACACCTGCAGCCTCAAGATCCTGGAGCCGGGCCTCAGCCAGAGGCCAGATGGAGCAGGCCTGGCCATCAGAGATGCCTACGGGACTTACCGCTGACCCGGCAGAGGAATGGAGTCCAGGTGGCGGCCTCCAGGCAATGCCATCATGTTGATCCCAATCTGCAGCAAGGCTTGCCCACAGTGGTCGTGACCCTGGAGAAAGAGGGCAGGACAGGGTCAACAGTTGCCCTGAGACAGTAGGCACAATCACTTTCGCTCCAAGATCCAGGCCACCAGGAGCCAAGGCAGCTCTGGAGGGAAGTCTCCCTAACCCTCCTCCCTTTTTGAACCAGTTTACACTCCAATGTCCTCACACAAGTAGTGCAGGACTTAGTCTAATGTCCCAAGCTCACCGTGAATTCCTATAATCTTTTATCTCGCACTATCAAACATTTGCCTGACCCATCTTGCTTTGTACCAAACATTGGGACACACAGACCAGCAAATATTGCGTGAGACGTACTCATACTTTAAAAGTATCTATGGTTTATCTGAAACTCACATTTAACTGGGCAGCCTGTGTTATTTGCTAAATCTGGAAAGTCTACATGCTAATTCTCTATAACCATCACAGCGCTGGGTCATTCACGTTGATTATGCATGGGAAATGTGACTCTGTAATGGGCATGGTGGTTGCTTCCCAAAATCCATTCCACTTCAGATGATATAATTTCACCCAAACTGCTAGTAACTGGTTCAGGAATAGGCATGGGACTCAATTTGAACCAATGAGCCATGATAGGATTGCTTCTAGAAAAAGTTTTCTTTCTCCTAACTGCAAACCACAGGAGACAGTATCTCTCCCACTGGACCTGAACAAGGAAATACGTCACTTCATTGCTGCTGGAGACCATCTTGCAACCAAGAGAGGGCCTAGCTGGGAGAATAAAGCTGGTACACAGAGAATAATAAATCTGGGTCCTTGATCACTGAGCCACTGAATCAAAGAACCCTGGAGTCTGGTCGACCCCTAGGCCTTCCTATTACATAAGATGATAAAGTCCTTGTTGTTTAAAGTGAGGATTTTGTTAGTGGACAGCCAAAAGGAGTCTAACTGGTAAAGATAAACCAGGCTCCAGGGGCCTAAGTCCCAGCACTGATGACCCACCAGGGTTGTCTGTGCCTCACAGGTTGCACCAAGACGATGGTGTCCTCCCTCCATCAAATCAGTTGCCCACCTGTTTGACTCCCCTTGTTGCCTTGGCCCTTCCTTGTTCTCCCCTCTCCACCACCTCCTTCTCCAAGCTGGTGAGGAAGGCCTCCCTGAGGAAAATGGAGATTCTGTCGCTGATGCCTGGGCAAAGCAACAGAAGAGGGGATTGGCCATATCCAGCACGCCCTGTGCTTGAGGACGGCAGATTTCAAGACTTTGAGAGAAAACACAAGTATGAGCTTGTGGGAAGATGACAGCTGACAAGGGCGAGATAAGTCCAGAAAAACTGAACTTCTACTCCATGATTACAAATGGCCCTTATAAGAAAAGAGTGGAGGAGGACTTTAATTTAATAGTGATCGTGCTGGACATAAAGTACCCTTTATGATGCCTGGAATAAAGAATACGACAGCTGATCTGAAAAGTATGAGACAGGAGCTCAGAATAAACTAGGGCATTATGTAATTCCAGAGACTCACTGCCACTGCCTGTCTCTCAGTCCATGGGTCCCACCACCCTATGAACCCCTCAAGGGCAGGGACTCTTTGTGCTCCTAGCACTGAGCTAAGAGACAAGTGTGCAACAAGCACTCTATGGGTCTATTGAAAAGATGAGTGGAACACATTTTTAAAACCTTTCCGCTGAGCCCTAATTCTTTATCTGTAACTGAGAATAATACTATCTATTGTACAGGGCTATTATAGCAATGACAAGACATAAAGAATATGGAAGTGTCAAGCCAGGGTGAGAGCTCGATAAATAGTAGCCTTTGTTACTCTTCAGCCTGGAGAGTCCACTGTGTACTCAGCCCTGTGGTCAGCTAGGTTGAGGGAGATGCAGAAAGTAAGACAAAGCATATAAAGCTTTGATAGGGCCCATCAACATCAGGAGTATCACCATTATTTCTCACATTATTATCATTATTGAAAAAGTATATTTTTGAAACCCAGTGAGTCAGCAGGCACAAAAGGATGGCACAAAAGAAAAAAAACAACAAAAAGAAGTAACTGTTCTCTTTCCAATTTGTTTGAACCCAAAAGGGAAATACCAACTTCTCCGAGTGAATGCTATGATGTCATCAGATAGCAGTGAGCAAGCAGATCTTATTTTATCTCCATCTCTGTCACAAAGAAGAAAGGGGTACAGAATAAGAACAATGAAGAGGGAATTCAAACTTATGGCAGGTGAGGACACGGAGATGGTAAGGAAGCTCCAAGGCCCTTTTGAAAAAGTATGAAGCAGTTAGGGTTCTTTGAGGAGATGAAGCATGCCCTGGGTATTGGAGGGCCTTTGGATCTGAGCAAGTCATATCTGATGGGCCTAGACAAAGAGAGAGCTGTCATGAGCAGAAGCCTGGATGCAAGAGAATGATCTGAATTCTAAGAGGTGGATTCTAGAAACATAGCTTGGTGACCACGAAATTCTAGAACAGATGCCTAATGGCTGATCTGTGAGCCCTTTGGACAGAAGCCAGCTAGAGCACAGTAGAACAAGTCATACCCAAACCATCTGCTTCCATTTCATTAGGGACCACTGGGCTCCTAGCAGAGGGGAATGCAACAATAAACCTGATATATCTTGATTTCCCTTAAATGCCCTGATGAAATGTTCTTGTTCATCTGTTTCGCCCATAGCCTCCCAGAGTTGTGCCGGTGGAGCCTTCCAGCAAACAAAACCTTGGTTCTTGTGATTGCATGTTTTCCCAGAGGCTGGGGAAGCCTCCTGGGGACATCTGAGAAGCATCTGTATCATGGCCCTATTCACTATATTATTTATGCCTGCCTCTTTCCCCCAATAGGACAAGACTCCTTGATGCCTGAAACCACATCTTGCTTAATGTGGGACTGATCCCAAGACCCTACATAATGAACTGCATGGTTGAAGCCAGGATTGTAAATCAGATTAGCTCATATTCAATGGGGATGAGGAACAGGTAAGAGAGAATATCTGGAAAGTGGGATACGAAGGACCAAGAGTTTAATCCAGCTGATGTTTATAAAGTGTCTCCACCAATAATAATAGCTAATATTTATTGAGTGTGTACCATGAGCCAAGCACTGTTCTAAATACCTCATATGGTATTAACTCATTGAATACTATCATCCTCCTCCTGTTACTGAGGAGACTCTGAAATTCAGTGGAGGTATGTGCATTGTTCAAGATCACACCGCTGGTAGGTGACAGAGGACTAGGATCCAGGTTTGAGGATTTAGAGGGGAGGTGCCAGGGGAGGTGGAGATGATGACAGCAACAAACAAGTGGCACGTGTCCAGCATTTGCTAACAGGAGGCCTGACTACATTCCATGGCGGCAACCACACCCAGCCCCAAGCCTTCACAGCCAGCCAGTCCTCTTCCCTGTCCCCAGTGCCTCCCTCTGCTCCCATCCCCAGAAGGACTGTAAGTTCTCCACCTTCATCTAGTGCCGGCTCTCAGTAATGCAGCCAAAGGGCAGAAGAACAGTCCCTGGAGAAATGAAGCAGATTGCAAAGACTGCAGTCAAATGGTGGAGAGAAGACCGGCACGGACACTGTGGATGTCCCTTCTGTTCCTCATTTCTTGGTTCCTTTTGTGAGAGTCCTGTGGACAATTGTGGGCCCCAAAAGGATCAGAGGATGAGGAAACCACAGTCAGCTAAAGCCTAAAGTGTCACTAGCTTTACAGAGAGACCTGTTTCCAGCATGCAGCCCTTGGGAAAGCCCCTAAAGGCTGCTGCCCTGGCAGCCACCTCCCCTACTGCCCTACACTGGACGCATCCTATTGAGCAGATTCCGAGGACACACCTCCAAAGCTACACAGCGTGTCAGGAAATGGACTCTAAGTAACCCCTTTGCCGCCCCATGGTCTGTCCTCAATGTTGTTGCAAGAGGAACTTGAATTTTGGGGTCTGACAGATCTGGATTCAAATCCTGACTCTGTACCAGATTGGTACCTGACCTTGAGAAAATCGTGAACCCCCATGAATGTGGTTCCCTCCGTTATACCTGCCTCCTAGGAGCTTCATAAGAATTAAATGAGATCACTTGCAAAAGCACCTAATAGATTAAAACAAAACAAAACAAAACAAATAAAATAAAATAAAATAAAATAAAAATCATGTGCTTGATACATGGTAGCTTCAAAAGGAAGTGTCCCTCCTCATGGAAGGAGTTATTGAGAAATGTATCTCGGGGCAAAGATGCTGTCTTGCCCATGAGAGGGGTAGAAAGGACACATGGCAGAAGTGAGAAGAAAGAGGAAACTCCATCACCTCGTGCCCAAACCCCTAACACCATCCACTGCCCTTCCTAACTCATCGGAAATCGCACTCTGGAGCATGCAGCCTTTGTTCTGTGGGGTTCATGGCTGTGCCTCCCCATCCAAGGAGAGACTAGTTTACAAGAAGGACTTGAAGCCTTAGGTATCTCAGATTTAATTCCATGCCAGATGAGAAAACTGCTCATTTGGACAGCTCAATTCTGCTCCTACATCCCATTAGAGGCAGGCCTTGCTCACCTCCATTTGGCTAACAAGCCAACTTGGGCTCAGAAGGAAATGGAGGCGATTTACAGTAAATTATTCAATTAGAACCGGGACTGGGGTGGCTTCTGCCATTGTCTAATGGGCCAATCCCAGTACAGCTGGAGGCGGGGCTGGGATTATTTAATCTGCAGAATCCATTAGGGCTGTAGGGGCAGGACAGTAAATATTATGGAAAGCAGTAGCTCCACTGCAGCACTAGGGACAGGGAGGAGGCAGCTGGGGGGGGGGGGGGGGGGGGGGGGGGGGGGGGGGGGGGGAGGGTGGCTGGGAAAGGAATAGAATGTGGGAAGTCAAGTCCCTCATTATGTGATCCCCTGCTCCCTCATTATTTCTCCTCCCTAGAATTTATCACAATGGTAACTAAACAATTAACTGAAATTAGTAGCTTAGTGTTTTCTCCCTTGAGGATCCCAGGGGCAGGGACTAGATATCTGTCCTGCCCACTGCTTTATCCCCCACCCCACTCACACTCACGGTACCTGATGCACAATGATCAGATCCATTAACACTTATTGACTGACTGGATGGGTTCTTACTGAAAGCACCCTGGCTTCGAGAGACAGGTGCCTACCGTGCCACAGTGTGATAAGTAGTCATTGAGAGGGTGGTGGGAGGGCCTTTCCTACCATGCAGGCTGCAGGGAGAGGGCTCTGCATCCTAACACCCACTGCGACAAAGCCACCTGTCCCCTCCTGAGTTTCTGTGGCCCTCACTGTCTGAACACACCCGGCTGGGCATGCTCCCTCCCCACCCCCAACTCTGTGCCTGGCAGGTTCTCCCAGACAGACAGACAGGGACAATAGACCATTGTATCATAACTGCAAAAACTGCAGAAGCGAGTGGGTGCTAAGGGAGATCCAGAGGGCTTCCCAGCAGTACCAAGGGAGAACAGGTGGGGAGAAGGGGTCAAGGCATGACCTCAAAGCTGACACTTGCAAGGGGAGTGTGAAAACACAGGAGAGAGGAAGGTGTGGAAGGAAGAGTGAGCAGACAGAGGGAAGAACACAGGAAGATTAAGGAACTGCAAGTGCTTCCGAAAGGCCGAAGAGAGCACTCCAGGCTGGTGGCAGAGTTTAGAGGAAATTATCCCAGTAGTGTGGGAATGCAGAAAAAGGAGTGGCCACATTCAGCTTGGAAAGTAGGCCACACTTCTTAGAGGAGACGACATCTGAAGTGGGTCCTAAATGCAGGGTGGGATTTTGCCAGGTGAAGATGGGACAAGGACATTCAGTGCCAAAAGAGCAATGTGCATGGTGCCAAAAAGACCAGAGAGTGAAGCAAGTATTCAGGGACCCAGATCTATCCCAGGCAGCTGGAGGGAAGGTGCCTCTGTGGTTCTGCATATGAAAGGAACTAATTCTCTGGATTCTTTCCTGTGGGTGATAGGGAACCACAGAAGGTTTAAGAGGGGAGTGACATGATCAGAGTGGAACTGCAGCTCCCATGGTGACCAGTAAGTGGATGGACTCCAGGGAGTGAAGCCAGTAGCAGTGGTCCATTTAAGAGACAAGTGCAACTCCCATGAGGATGACCAAAGCTCT